GTGTGTGTGTGTGTGTGTGTGTGTGTGTGTGTGTGTGTGTGTGTGTGTGAGAGCAGGAGCACCTGATAGAAAATGAGGTGGCGGTGCTGCGGAGGGTTCGACATCCCAGCATCATCCAGTTAATCGAGGTGGACGAGACGCCCAGTCAGCTGTTCCTGGTCATGGAGCTCGTCAAGGTGCCTCTTCTTCTTCTCTTCTTCATGTTCGTCTTTGCGACGGAGAACATGAAGAAATATTTACGTTACTATTTTCACGCCTTCAGGGCGGCGACCTGTTCGACGCCATCACCTCCTCCACCAAGTACAGCGAGCGAGACTCCAGCGCCATGGTGTTCAACCTGTCCGGAGCCGTCAAGTACCTGCACCGCATGAACATCGTCCACCGGGACATCAAACCAGAGAACCTGCTGGTACACACACACACACACACACACACACACACACACACACACACACCGTGCTGTTGAACAGAACAGTTGATCTACTCTTTTGTGTTGTTCAGTCGGAGTGTGTATTGTGAAGTGTTGTGCTTGTGTGTGCTGCAGGTGTGCGAGTACCCAGACGGCACCAAGTCGCTGAAGCTGGGCGACTTTGGTCTGGCGACGGTGGTGGAGGGGCCGCTGTACACCGTCTGTGGCACGCCGACGTACGTCGCCCCGGAGATCATCGGCGAGACCGGGTGAGGAAATCAGTTTCTGGGTGCTAGCTAAGCTAAGCTAAGAGGGTGAACAGACACTTTAATAAGAAACTGTGTGTGTGTGTGTGTGTGTGTGTAGCTACGGTCTGAAGGTGGACATCTGGGCGGCCGGAGTGATCACCTACATCCTGCTGTGTGGATTCCCTCCATTTAGAAGGTCAGTGTGTACAAGGTTTGGGTCATCCACAACGTCAAAGTGTCCTTTTTGGTCCAGTTCATTCATAAAAGTTTGCTGCTCTTCTTCCGCTCCTCAGTGAGAATAATGTCCAGGAGGAGTTGTTCGATCAGATCCTCAGAGGGAAGCTGGAGTTTCCGTCTCCGGACTGGGACACCATCAGCCTCCCAGCCAAGGTAAAGACAGCTTAAAGGGCCAGTGTGTAGGATCTGACGCCATCTAGTGGTGAGGTCACAGAATGCAACCAACCGAAACTTCTACGACACAAAATCTTAGAGCCAGCGTTTGGTTTGTCCATTCATGGCTACTAGTCTTTTAATTAAGTTTTCTTTAAACATATAAAGCTGTTGGTTCGTCTGGTTAACTTTAGCTGAATACTTTTTGAGTACTAAGTGAGTTGTTATCACAAAAACTCTTCAGATTGTTTTACTTTCTTATTTAAATCATGATTTTGTTGATAAACCATGTTTATTTAGAATATACACAACATATTGAACTTTGTCTGAGTCTAATTATAATTAAATCAAAACACTTAAATGTTTTTAAGTTTCTATGATTGACTGCGGCATAAACACCATTTATGTGAAATTGCCACCAGGTGTAGAATATGAATTCAGACCATTTACTGCCGGCTGCTAACAGTCACATGACCTGCTCCTCAGATGCTGATTAGTCAGATGCTGCAGGTGAACGTGGACACTCGATTCACCGCCGAGGAGATCCTGTCCCACCCCTGGGTGACGGTAAGTGCACACACGTGTAAAAAATGTCTCTTTAAGCAACATTTTCAAAACTTCCACATTTATTAAGTAACTCATACAAAAACAAGCATATTGAATTATAACTTAACAGTAAGAAAAGTAATCTGAGTACTCTTATGTTAACTTTGTTCAGGATGAGGCTCCGGTAGACTCCACCATTGTGAGCAGCACTGCAGAACAGACCGGTGGAGACGCACTGGACCCAGAGCAGGAATCCCCAATACTGGAAACCAAACAAGTTCCTTCTCCTCTGGTTTAAATCACATTGATCTTCCATCAACTGGAAACCAAACACAACACAGATTTTTTGTTTTTGATCTACCGGAAACCCCATAAAGGTCTAGATCTGTCCAGGAAACCAGATAAGTTCCCTCAAATCTGGTCCGGATCTTGTCCTGTTTTTTCATCACCTTCAGTGTAGAACACGTCCCGTTTGATCTTTTGGAAACCAAATGAGTTTCATCTCCTGGAAGCCAAACCACCATCTGGTCGAGTGAAGGACCTGTTTCCACCCACTGGAAACCAAACCTTTTCCCTCATTCTTGGTCTACAATAGATCCCCGTTCATCCACTGTTCCCTCAAAACTCCTTCCTTCAGCTCTGGTCTAGAATTGGTCCCGTTTCATCTCATGGAAACCAAACAAATTCCCTGACCCCCTCTGGTCTAGAATATGTCCAATCAACTTGTTTTACTGCTGGTCCAGAAGTTTCCCGTTGCCTGGACACAAAACCAGAAAACGTCTTCTTTCATCTACCGGACACTGAACAAGTTCCCTCTTTTAATCCACTGTAAATCTAACAAGTTCCATCAAACCTGGTCTAGAATTGGTCTTTTTGGAAATCCAACAAGTTCCCTTAACATCTAGAACTCGTCCTGTTCTTTCACTTAAAATCAAATAAGCTTCCTCACCTCTTTATTCTAGAATAAATACCTTTTTATCAACTGGAAACCAAATGAGTTCTCTCATATCTGGCTTCGAATCAATTCTGTTTCAACAACTGGAAACCATCAAGATCACCCCCCTTTGGTCTAGAATGTATCCCATTTAAATGTATTGGAAACCAAACAAGTTCCTTCAAATTACGTGGTCCAGGATATGTCCCCCTTAATCAACTTGAAACCGAAATCCCACACCTCTGGTCAAGAATACGTTCCTTTAAATCATCTGCTCTAGAGTATGTCCCCTTTTAACAACTGGAAACCAAATAAGTTCCCACACTCTTGTCTGAAACATTGTCCTTTGCATGTAATGGAAAATAAACAAGTTCCTTCAAATCTGGTCCAGAACACGTCCCGTTTCATCTTCTGGAAACCAAACAAGTTCCCTTGCCTCTAGTCTAGAATTGCTGTGTTGCTTCAACTTGACACCAAATGAGTTCCCCTCTCCTTGGTCCATTTCATCTACTGGAGACTGAAGAGGATTCCTCACCTCTAGTCTAGGACACTCAGCATTTGCTATACTGAAAACAAATTCAAGTTCTCCATTGCCACTTCCAATTATCTCCTGGAAACTGTCCTCGCCTTTGGTCTAGACCAGCATCCTATCTACTGAAGACTTTCACAAGCCCCGCCTCTGCTGCTGTACTGGAAAGTATTTACATCTTCTTTGATGCGCTCCATCAAGAGATGGGGTCCCATTTTATTGTTGGCAAGACCCTAATGAAGTCGCCTCACTGCTACCTGAAGGACACGCACCATATCAACACTGGGAGACCATGAAAGTGATATTGGATACATAAGTGTTTCATCACCCGGTGTCTCTTGGGACTGGACCCATTTCCTGAGAATGGCCCTTAACAAAGGCCTCGAACCGCTTCCACAGGGATATTAGCGACTCATTTCATTATTTTCTCAGTAGCCCGTGCCGCCTGGCGACCAGGATGTCTTCCACTTATTCTGGGAAACGTCCCCTTTATCCTGCCTTTACCCTCCAGCTCTCCTTCACGCTGACCTGAAGGACGTTTCTCATTTCTTCTACTTGGCGCCCACCAACCCCGATGAGATATTTCAGTACTGTGCCTGTTTACGCTGCTGATGAATTACTCCTTAATATCCTAAATCTCAGCCCTTTCCTTCCATAGGCTCCACTCTTCAGACCTCCCAGCACTCGTCATTGGCTGTATAGACAGACGAGGCTCATTGTTTTGTGGTTTTTACAGATTTTCGCAAAACATATATTGATTGATTGCCTTCTTGCCAAGATTTGGGTGAGAAAATGTCCCAAAAATGACCATTCCCCCGTCTGTACGTAAAGCGTGGAGGCAGTTCAAAATATCCACCTCTAAAGCTCACTGATGAACCCATTTCTGTAGAGAAGACAAATTGTGTTCTTGTTCACCAAGAATTTGTTAAAGATGTGACTCCTCATAAAACCACAAAATGTTGTTTTTACAGCCCGATTTCCACTTGGAACTCAGATTTACTGAGTGACTTCTAAACCTCACAGTTTAAAAAGGGGCGTGTTTCAATCCAAACTCCGCCTCTCCTCCCACCTGCAGATACCAGAGGATAAAATACGTTGTAAATACTGTCAATACCACTCTGTCTGTTGGTGTCTGTCTGTGTGAGTCAGTTGTGAAGTAGGGGAACAGTAGCAGTTCTGAACAAAAATAAATACAATGAAAAGAAACAATCTCATCATAGACGTGATGCGTCAGCATCCCCAAAATAAACCTTGTTTTTCTCCCAAAAGAGCCAATTAAACAATATACACAGTGGTGGAATGTCACTGAAGTACTTTTATTAAAGCATTGTACTTCAGTGTCAGGACTTTACTCGAGTCTCATTTCATTACTTATAAATTCGCAAGGAAATATTGTACTTTTTACTCCATTACATTTATTTACTTTACAAATTAAAATCATACACACAAAACATATGAAGAACTTTTAGAATATGATGCATTGTAAAACAAAGGATCAAACAGCGTGTTGTTGGTACTTTTACTTCAGTAAAGGATCCGAGTACTTCCTCCACCACTGATGATGTGTTTTAGCTCCTTATTCAAATATAAAAACAAGGTTTCTGAGGGACGTTGATGAACTAATGAAGGAGTTCTGCACCTTAAAGTCGAGCTCCTCGTAGATCTGGAAGGACTGGACAATGACGGATCTCTTTCCTTATATGGTCATGTGTCTGCTGAGAGGTGACGTTAGTGGGTCATCCATCAATCATGTCGCTCCATCCACACATCCATCACGTCGTCTGTTGATGTTTCTGGTTATCAGAGGACGAAGGACAGATGTGTGTGTGTGTGTGTGTGTGTGTTTGATCTCCACAGTGTAATGTTTAAACCTAAAAAAAATCATGTGGAAAGTATGCGGTTCAGTATGAGTGTTTAGTGCATCTGCATCAAAGGAAGAGTAAACGTGAAATGTCGAGTGAATAAATCGTTGACCTGATGACCTCACCTTTCCATGGCCTTGACCTTTAGGCCGGAGCCGCCGATTAAGAGTTTGTGGAGAATGGAAGCGGCGTTTCAAAGGACTGAATGCGTTCTGTAACTTAAAGATTCAGCATCACACTCACCGGAGTCATGTCAGTGTAAAACATTAAAACAAGTACTTTTTAAAAGGCGGGATCGATCAAACATTGTTGATGTCACATATTTTGCTTTGTGTGATTATTTTCGATGTATTGCCGACAGTATCGATGTTAAAAAGTTGCTGAAAGTTGTCTCTTCTAATCGGCGGCCCGGCCTTTGACCTCCTATGCCTGCTATGAACCCAGTCGTCTTAATTCTGTTTCTCTTTGCTTTATACCGAGAGGAGCCTTCTGTTGGCGTTAGCGGTGCAGCCACTCCTGGGTCAACGAGCAGCTCAAGTCTTTAGTGTTACTTTTGACTGTCGTGTGACGCTAATGCACGGTTTGCTACAAGAAGAACCAGATCGTACGTTTTGTTTGTTTTAGCACATTTTATCAACTTAATTTGTTTTTGGTTCATTTCTTGGTTGAATGCGTCGCTCTAAGTCAATCTGCTGTTTGGTTCTGTACCAAGAAACTGTTTTGTTTCTTTCCTTGCATGCAGCGGTGTTCACATATCTGAAAAATGACAAAATCAGCTGCAAAAAAACGCAGATTTCAATCAAACTGTAGAGTCAGAAAATGGATTGAGCCCAGCAGTGAAACACTGAATGAGTTTGCAGCTTTATCGCCATGGGACACTATCTCAACTGAAACTGAATATTTCAATGTTCTTTGAAATCTCGTTGCATAATTGTGATACTTTAAACTATATTAATTTAATGTTTTGTTTAGGAACAAATTAAAATGAGCTGAAGATAGCTTCAAAAACACTTCTAACTCCCTCAAACTGTGACTTCGTTGGGACTTGAATGCAGCTTTAATTCACAGGTGGGCGGAGCTAATAAATCACTTCAGAGATCAGACCCGGGGTGGCTGTAGTTATTCGGTCCTTTGTGTGTTTCTATCAAATGCAGAATGTGTTTGTGTGTGTGATCATTTCACATCAGGCCTGATCTTAGACAGGAACTGATTTTTTATTAAGTGAAGTAGAGAAATTAGGATTTTGAACCAAACTGGGCTGCTTCTCCTGAAAGGAATCTCTTGATTTATGGTCAATCGGCTAAAAATTATTTTTAAGACAATCTAATTCCTCAAATGACGAGACTGAACTCTGAACTTATTTAAAACGTGTTATCTTTGAGCATTGTAAAATCTAAATCAGCTGTTTGACGTCAGAGTGTTTCTTCTTACTGAGAGATACTTTTAGGAAAACTAGTCCAGAGTTGAAGTGCGAGGAGACGTGTTTTAATGCTAACAATGATCTGTGATGTGATGTGTGTTGATATGAAACATGTTGGTTTGTTGGGATCAGGGTTCACTCTGGTGTGGATTCGAGAAGCGATGCGTTCAACTGTGAAAATAAAAACGGATGCAGTGGCGTCATGTTAACCTGGTCGTCTTTCTGACTGTCGTCCTCCAGCTGTGATCATCAACGTTATCATAATCAGTTAGTTTATTATTGTGTTAAACGTTTAGCACAAGAATAACTGGAGCAGAATATTGGGTCAATGTTACCTCTTAAAGCTTTTCCTTTTTGAATTATAGAGGAAGTTGCTCTACAGATTCATATTTTATATTCAACATAAGAGCTCATTAAGGAAAGAAAATATCACTTTTGTTCAATTACTTCCTTACTTTCTCCGTTGCTTCCTCTTTGTCTTAAATTTCCCTGAATTTTGCAAGAAAAACCTTAAAACTTCTAACCCAACAATGAAGCTCAACGTTATGTCCCTGTGAGTATGTTCACTTTAGATACTTGAGTCTAGTCATGTTTTGTATGCAGTATTTTGTTTACTTGTAATCGTATCTTTCCACTGTGGTATATGTGCTTCCAGTTATATGACTTCTGCTTACACTGCTGGCGACAAATGGGAAAAGACTGAAAACAAACAGGACGGCTGAACGCACCGCTAACGTAAGAAACAGCTCAGTTTCCTTGAAAGCCATTATTATTTGTTGGAAACAAAAAGTACCAAACAATGAGGATCGGACATATTCACAGGCTCATCTCAGGTCAATGCGTCAACCGAAAAACCAGCTCTGTAATCTGTGAAAGGCAGCTGAACATGCTACTAAAAGGTCAAACCAGCTTTAAACAAGAACTGAACTGCTCCATGTCCTTGAATGCATCACTGATGGCCCCTCCCTTATCTCAAAACACAAGAGTCCAACTCTGTCTGTTTATTTCCTGGTTTCCCTCCGCTTTTCCAGATCTGCCAGTTTGAAGATGGGTGTGACCAACAGGGTCTGCTGACAGTTATGCAAGAAAGAAAATAAAAGGGGTTTGGCTTCCTGTGAGCTGCTGTTATTTGGCTGTGAGCAGCATGAAACAACACTCTTTGTTCTGTCGAAGAAGGTGAAATGGCGCAGAGAGGAAATCAAACAGACGAGGTGAAATTCTGCTGTTCCATCTGTCTGGACCTACTGAAGGATCCGGTGACTCTTCCCTGTGGACACAACTACTGCATGAGGTGCATTAAAACCTCGTGGAACAAGGAAGACCAGAAGAAACTCCACAGCTGCCCTCAGTGCCGACAGACCTTCAGCCCGAGGCCGGCGCTGGTGAAGAACTCCTTGTTGGCCGAGTTGGTGGAGGAGCTGAAGGAGACCGGACTCCGAGCCGCTCACTGCTACGCTGGACCTGAAGATGTGGCCTGTGATGTCTGCAGTGGGAGGAAACTGAAAGCCTTCAAGTCCTGTCTGGTTTGTCTGGCCTCTTACTGCGAGCAACACCTCCAGCCTCACTACGACTCTCCTACTTTTAAAAAACACACACTTGTCGAGGCCTCCGTCAACCTCCAGGAGAACGTCTGCCCTCGTCACGATGAGGCGATGAAGATGTTCTGCCGCACCGATCAGCGGTGTATCTGTTATCTCTGCTCTGTGGATGAACACAAAGGCCACGACATGGTCTCGGCCGCAACAGAACGGACTGAGAAGCAGGAGGAGCTCGATAGGAGTCGGCAGAGGATCCAGCAGAGAATCCAGCGGCACCAGAGGGATGTGAAGGAGCTTCAGCAAGAGGCCGAGGACATCAATCGCTCTGCTGATGAAGCTGTGGTGGACAGCGAGAGGATCTTTACCGAAATGATCAGTTTCATGAAAAGAAGAAGCTCTGATGTGAAGAAGGAGATCAGATCTCAGCAGAAGTCCGACATGAGTCGAGTCAAAGAGCTTCAGGATGAGCTGGAGCAGGACGTCGCTAAGCTGAAGAGGAAAGACGGCGAGCTGGAGCAACTCACACGCACAGACGACAACGCCCAGTTTCTTAAAAGTTACCCCTCGCTGTCACAACTTACCGAGCCTACAGACTCACCAAGACCAAAAACAAATCGCATGTGGTTCTTTAAAGAAGTAATGGCCGCTGTTACAGCAGCCAGAGATCAAATGCAGACCATTCTTACTGAGAATTGGCCTAAACCAGAGATCAGTGACAGAGATGAGATGTTACAATATTTCCAGGAAATCACACTGGATCCAAACACAGCGAGCCCAACTCTGGTTTTATCAGAGGAGAACAGAAAAATAACATATGACAAACATATGCCATATTCTAACCATCCAGACAGATTCATCAACAGACCTCAGGTCTTGAGTAGAGAGGGGCTGACTGGACGTCGTTACTGGGAGGTGGAGATGAGCAGACATGCTGTAGTAGCGGTCGCTTACAAGAGCATCAACAGGAAGCTCAATATTGCAAGTATATTTGGACGGAACAACAAGTCTTGGGCATTACTTTGTTGCGATGGTTTTACCTTCAAGCATGATGATCGCTCAGTCAGCATCTCAGCTCCTCAGTCCTCCAGAGTAGGAGTGTTCCTGGATCACAGTGCAGGTTTTCTGTCCTTCTACAGCGTCTCTGAAACCTCGACTCTCCTCCACAGAGTCCAGACCACATTCACCGAGCCGCTCTATGCCGGACTCTGGCTCGGTTCTAATGGAGACACTGCTGAGTTCTGTCAACTCAAGTAGACGAGGACCTTCTGTGAGTTAAGGTGAAATCATGAATCAATAATTTGTTTAACTTGTTAAATGTGTTGATTTCCTGTGTATAACTTCATGTTACTGTCGAGTCCTCTGAATAATTGCAAAGCTTCTACTGATGTGATTTATGGAGTTTAGAAGAAGTAACAAGAACATTTAATCAACTAAAGGATGTTTTCTTTTGATGCAACGTTAGCGAGCGATGACAAATATGTAAAATGTTCTAAATCCATAGACTGAGCGTTAAAAGTCTCATTCTTCTAATCTTCCAGCCATATTTACATGAATTAAGCTTTAGAGATGCTGAGTAGTTAAAGCACAAACCCAAACAAACTTTACTGAGTTTAACGGACATAAACATGACGACAAATACAATATTCAAGCACTCAACGATATCAATCGACGACTATGAAAAATGATTTTAAGTGTTTCGTTCTCTCGGGTGTAAATTTAACCGTTAATCTTCCTTTAAACGTCTGATCACCAGTTATCAGACCAGAGCGCTAAAGTTAAACATCAGGTGAGGAAAGAAAGAACAAAACAAATTTAACCGTTATTGAAATGTGTGAAAGTTTTATTTGTTAAAAAGTTGGAATGTTTGGTTATACATAAAATATGTCTCACATTCATAGTCTCTCTCGTTTCTCACTAAACTGGTGTGACAGTCTGACAGATGTCGTGTATTTACATAGAAACTGAGCAGTTTCACTCATTGATGGAAAGAAGCAGAAAATACATCTAATAATTTAAATGTACTAATATATATATTGTGCCAACATCTCAACATTCTTCTTTCAGGACCGTCAAATAATAAAATCTGTTTTTATACGACAGCAGAGAGAGTTACCATGTTGACTTCTAATTACATTTGAAGGACTTTGATGTCACATGATATGATATTAACTTACATGAATATATATATATATATATATATATATATTCATGTAAAATAAACCAACAGGAAAAGCTGCTGCAGTAAATTAAAATCTTTTCTTTTGCTCATTAACTAAATATAAACATCACTCAAATTATGATTTTAAAAGAAGTGCACAAAGAAAAGTCATAAACCAAACAGCATCTATTATCACACATCTACTGTTCAATAACCAGCTGTTTTATTGTTTCTTTATCTCCCAAATAAAAGCAGCAGCTTAAATCTGCCTCCTCGGTCTGGAAGAGTAACGAAGAAGAAGAAGAAGAAGAAGAAGAATGTAAAATGAGCTCTTTGTAAAAGCGCTGAGTGGCAGGAATGAGAGGTTGCTCTCTGCACTCGTGAGTAAAACTCATGAATTCATCCTCCAGGTTCATCTTTAATACAAACACTGATGTGAGTTTCAGTCTGGAGATGTTTGTAGATGAAGTGTTTTTATACGTTTAGGACAGAAGAAGCTACAGAACTTTATTCATGATCAACATGATTAACTTCAGCTCCTTAATGTCACAACGTCCACAAAGCCGTCGTTAAAACAGTCCGAGTTATGTATTTATACACATTTATGTTTTATGACGATGTCTTTAAAGTAGGATATTGTAAAGCTTGTTTTTAATATCTTAATACACATTGTGAAAATAAGTTCATAATTCAGGTTTTGTTTTAATTGAGCGTTTTGCTGCTTTAGTGTCACGTTTAAATCTTACCGTTTACTTTACAAACATTTCATAATCACATCGTGAAACTCTGAATAATAATCAGTTTGTAGACGACAGATGAAATGCAGCTTTAGTGTTGGTTATGTAAAATGATCCGGGTCAAAGGTCAGAGTTTAGTGATCGTAAAACATTTGTTGTGCAACAATAAGGAACTTCTATAAATAGCTCCGGAATCCTGCAGCGTCATGAGACTAAAGATTCTCACGGTTCATCTCAACCAAACGTCTTAAAGACACAAAACATCCTCCACTCCACTCCTCCTCACTCCACTCCACTCCTCCACTCCTCACTCCACTCCTCTCCTCCACTCCTCCTCACTCCACTCCTCACTCCACTCCTCACTCCACTCCTCACTCCACTCCACTCCTCCTCACTCCACTCCACTCCTCCTCACTCCACTCCACTCCTCCTCACTCCACTCCTCCTCACTCCACCTCACTCCACTCCACTCCTCCTCACTCCACTCCTCCTCACTCCACTCCTCACTCAACTCCACTCCTCCTCACTCCACTCCTCCTCACTCCACTCCTCCTCACTCCACTCCTCTCCTCTCCTCTCCCCTCCACTACACTCCTCACTCCACTCCACTCCTCACTCCACTCCTCCACTCACTCCACTCCTCACTCCACTCCTCAGTCTCCTGATCGTCCACGTTACACCACGCTCATGATTAAAGTGAGTTAGTCGTCTTTGAAGGTTTTCCAGTTTGAAGTTTAAAAAGTATCCGACACATACAACATGTTAAAAGCCGTCGGTAGCACTTTCTACATGACGTCTGTGATACGTTACAAACATTATTACGATGCGTTATAATCTGCTCACAGCACTGTTTGTCTGTATTCATGCATTCATAGTTATATACATATTCATCAATGCTACACACCAGAGCATCGAGTGAAAGGTGGGTTTTTATTTCTTGTCTAGTTGATTATGGAAGTTAATGAGCGGCTATAACTATAATTAAACAGCTGTAAGCAGATATTAACGCACTAAAAGTATGTTTTTAAAGCATCGTAGACGTGAGAGAAGTGTTACAGAAAGGTGGACCAACAGAAGCTCCTCAGAGCAGAGACCACCATCTTACTGATCCTTTAGAACCTTTAGAACCGGTGTAGGTCCACTGATCACTGCTTCTTCAGCACTAATGAGCCGAGGAAGAGTCGGTGAAAGACAAACAGTCAACTTTAGTCCAGGCGCTGAAAGAGTCGTTGAAATCTGTTGAACTCCGTCGATCAGAGCGACGATCCAATCACAACTCAGAGCTCCAGTTTATAGTTTAGTGACAAAAGAAGCGGATTTTGTTTCATTAAAAAGATGTTGAGTTGAAACTCTGGACTTCAGTGAACGCATCACTCAGAGGAGCTGCAAAAACTACAATAGAAGAAGAAGAAGAAGAAGTTGTTTTCTCCTCATTAGACGTTTTCACGATTTCCTCATCAGAGAAGTGAAATGTAGTTTTTAGGAACAATCCCACGCCTCCCGCCCACAACTCCCAGAATCCACTGCTCATCCACAAACTCCACCTGCGTCATGACATCACCGACCTACAGGAGGAAGAGAAGAAGAGAGAAAAAGAAGAAGAGAAGACAAAAACAATGAGATGTTTTAATGTTAGTAAGAAACTTCGCGCGCACACCAACACACACACACACCTTTAAAGTGAGCTCATCTTCGCTCTCTGCCGTGAAGTCAAACTTGGCCACTCCTTTAACCGCCGACTGCTGGTCTGTGATTGGCTGAGCTGGAAACAGGAAGAGGAAGTTGTGTTCAGAGACCTCAGCAAACACACACACACACACACACACACACACACAAATCACTGCATACTTAACAGATAATTAAATAAGTTTGTTAAAAAAAATAAAAATGTATCCTTTAAAGTTATTTACTTTTACTGAAATAACATTTTCACTGCAGGAGAGTATTTTTACAGCACGGTATAAATACTTTTACTTCAGTAGAGTATAAAATACTGTGTGAGTGTTACCCTGACAGGCATGTGTATGTGTGTTACCCTGACATGTTAGTGTGAGCGTGTTACCCCGACATGTTGGTGTGAGCGTGTTACCCTGACATGTTGGTGTG